TCCGGCCTTGTCTTTCTTTTAGCAGTTGAACACCAACATAGCGCTAACTCGCCGAAAACGCTTCAAAATGGCCTGAGACGCTAGGAATCAACAAAGAAAACAACAAGGCAATAAGGTAAGCCCATTTTATTTCAAAACAAGACATTTTTTTCTCTCTTTTAAGGCAAACCGATAACATCCCATACAAACCTTTATAAATATAAAACGTTGCGCAACACGGTAAGAGTCACGTCCGCTTTTCTAGTAGTGAGCTTGGGCTGCCTGTGTTCAAAATATATGAACTTCATATATTCATTGTAACTTAATTGTTTGTTAAAAGCACGTATAGTAAATCTGCGTGGTTCGATGAAACGAGGTGATTGAAGAAGTCAAGCTGGTCATTTTGCGTACTTCCTGACACTCAAATGCTTATGATATGATATCACGTACGATTCTCAAGCAAAACGTTTTTTTTATTGGCGCATAACTGTTTAAGACTGATTTGTTAGGTTCTGATTTTCGCTGTTGCATAAATAGCGCTCTCTACTGCGAGGATCGTGCATCGTACGTAGACTGATTTGTAATCATCAAAGTGCAAATACAAAGGTCCTGACACGTGATTTGTTAATTATAAACCCAAACGTGCTCTTTACCTCAGCAGGCATTGCCGTCGATGTCACGAATCGACTAAGATGAGAAAATCGAGAGAAGAGGGTAAAGTTGCAGACGAAAACGAGAGTCAAAGGGAGCAGAAGGGACGCCGTAAGAGGTTTTGTAATCCTTTCAAGTCTTCAAAGGATGAGGCGCATCCTGATGGTAATTACGATCTTCCTCTCGTCGACTATCACCTTGTGGCAGACCCAGACAGGACCTTTGTTTACGATGACGGTGCTATGGAAGTCAGCGACACTGGGGTAACCTCTGTGTCGCCTCGTGCTCTGAAGATTTTTGAGGCGATTCGTGAAGATGAAGCGGCACTGGTCTTAGAGGAGCTCGGTAACTTGCAAGACGCCTACGAGATCGACAAGAAAGACCGCCATGGCTTCGCTCTCATTCATGTGGCAGCTCGATACAATTTAAACAGAATAGTCCACACTCTGTTAGATTATGGAGCAGATATTAACATTGGTACCAGTCAGTACAAGTGGACACCTCTACACTTAGCCGCCAGGTGTGTTCAAATTGAAATAAAATATGCAACAGTTAAAAGTACGTGCTTTGAATTTGACCTTCGATGTATTTACTTCGCTGCACTTGTATTCGATTACGAAATAAATCAATCCTCGTTTTTCTCCGATGTAATCTGGTCAGCATACAAGATCGTATCGTTTATTTTGAAGTTTTAAGACGGGAGTGGTTTTTCCTCGACAAACAAACTGTTCTATTTTGCTCTAAACGTCGCATCGAGCTTTCCGCTTTATATTATTTTTCTATCTGTGAATCACGCCATCTTTATATGATTTATCTCAGGGTCAGTACAGTATTACAAGTATTTGTTTAATTTATCTTTCCGTTGAGCTCTGATAGGATTTTGTGACAAGAGTTGCCCCTTGTTAAAGGAATGCGTAGATAGAAATACTGTATAGCATACTTTTATAACATTTCTCGTCGCTCAACTGAATTTTGATGGATTATGTAAATTAGCTGGATATTGGATTCAAAGATTTTTGTTTGGACCAGCCGGAAACTATGGATATTCATTTAATACCATGCGTATTTCCGAACTAAAATATCCGTCGTACTTTTGAGATATGTCTATCGTTTTTCTCCCTTTTTATTTCGATTGTCTTTACCTGAATAATTTTCCAACCAAAGGAGTTGAATCTTAGTTTTTCCCTGTATTCAGTAATCTAGTCGTTTGGTTTTCAAGTTCGATACTTACATTCCATGTAAATTGTCGCTATGCTTGCCCATTCTACTCAGCTTGCGATGTTTTTCTCACCTCTTTGCTTCTTTTCACCTCGAGCAAACGATTATAACAAAGTTAAATCCCATCCAAACGCAATTTTTTCTGTCATAAGAAACAACTAGGAATGCTTTCTTTACCTTTTACAGTACAGTTGACTTTGAGTATTGTCATCCGGCTATTTACATGTGTCACAGCTCTAAGATTTTGGAGTATTATCAAATCCCAGCTGATTGTGAAAAATCCAGATAACAGATATCTACAAATAACATATACTTTCATTGTTATTACACTCATCCCATAGGTTCAATGGTCTCTCCACTATTAACGTACTTTTGCAACGAGGAGCAGACCCCTCTATTAAAGGTAACAAAGGTAGCACCCCACTGCACTTTGCAGCGCGCCGAGGAAACGAAGAGATCGTCAAAGCTCTTCTGGAGCATCCTTCAGTAAAGATTGACGAAAAAGATAGCTCAGGAAAAACTGCTTTGCACTTAGCTTGCAGCGAAGGACACAGCAAAGTTTCTCAAATTCTCATGAATTACGGAGCTGACATTAAGGCAATTTCGGCGGACAAGTCGACGCCCCTCCACAATGCCATTGTTCATGGGCATTCACAGATCGCAAGACTTGTATTTAGGCGAGGTGAGGATATGTGTCTTTAACTATTCTAATCTTTTAAGTATCTTATTAAGTAATTATTGTTTTCATTTTTTGAAACGGTTGACAAAAATAATTATAATATTTATGGTGATGATGATCACGATCAGAGTGGATTTTTTTTTTTCCAGCCTCAGACAGCGACCTTTGCACCAACACAAAGGAAATGGTGGAAAACGAAGATCTTCAGAATAACACAGTTCTACATTTGGCGGCGTGGAATAATGACGTGAAGACCGCTGAACTTTGTCTTGAAAATGGCGCTAACGCCAACTCGAAGAAATCTGACGAAACTAGTGCACTGCATTTGGCTGCTACCCGAGGGAACCTAGAGGTGGCTGAGTTGTTGTTATCTCGAGGGGCTTCTGTTGACGTAAAAGACGGAGACTCCAAAACGCCTCTTCACAGGTACGTCCTTGATAATTACTAGCTAGTCCACATGGTACGGTGGATTTTGTTAGGGTAAGATTTTCCTCAAGCCTACTAAGTTGGTTCCACGAGTGCAGCTGTTTTAGAGTAAAAAATATATGATGTGAATATTTGTTTCTGGAATAAAGAAGTTAACTCAGTTATCAAAATTTAAGACTCCCTGAGAACGATAGTGGTATCCAGGACAATACAACCTCGTTCTCAGTGAGCCGCTAATCAGTGGGAAGCACTATGTGGATAAGGCTGTAGTGGTGCTACCGAAACGGTCATTCAGTGGGAATCATGGTAAGTAGACGCGTTTCAAAGGCGGCCATCGGTTACGTTGCCAACATCTTGTCCTCGTTAGTCGGACGGGTCGTCAGGCAGACAGTCGTAGGGCATCAAGCTCGATAACTTGAGTTCGTTGTCTGCCTAAGTTTCATTGATGACCAACTCATGACGACTTTGTTATTGTTCTGCAGGGCAGCCATGTTCAACCAAACGAAATTCATTGAACTTCTCATGGACAAAGATGCCAAGTTGAATGCACGAGATGGCGAAGGCCGTTCGCCATTCCTGAATGCGGTTGCCGCTGGTCACGTTGAAGCAGCCAGGGCTCTCCTTCAACATGGAGCTGACATCTCTGCAACTGACTTGCTTATGAAGACCTGTGTTCACCTCGCGGTAGAGAATGAAAAGCTCAAAATGCTTGCCATGCTTTTAGAGACTCGCGAGGGTACCAACAATTTGTCCAAAGCAGATCTGTGGGATAGGGTCCCTTTACACAGTGCCGCCCTTACAAAAGACATAAAGGTATAAAGGTCTTAAATGTAGACAATCCATAGATGGTCGCGAAGTAGTTTTTTTCCTTTAACCATGAAATGCGCGGTTAATGTCTTTGCTTCAGGTATAGATCGAAATAGTCACCTCGGCCGAAGTAAAAACTTTCGATACAAACTGGATCCCCACCAAGCTCAAAATTTACATTCTGTTTTCTTTTTAACAACTCCTCGTTCACGACGTTGCTGACTGTAGCAGTCTGCAGGACGTTTGTCACGCGTGAACCAATAATTTGGCATAGCTCATCTTAGAGTTCCCTGTAGCGCACTGATAATAAAATTGGAGGATCAGAGATTCGAAACCTTGTTGAGCCCCATTCCTTTTCATTCCTTTAATATTATCGTTTTATGTGTCACCTTATGGTATAAAGCCCAGTGAAATAACTTCTAGATAATGTTTCTCCCGTACAGATTCTAGAGGTGCTGTTATCCAAACAGAAGCAAATGTCCTACAGAGATGTGAATTATAGAACCCCTCTCCATCTCGCTGCAGAATCATCTTCATCCAAACATGTTGACATGTTAGCGAGGCGGATGTGTGGTGTTAACGATCGAGACGACCTTGGGCGAACCCCCCTTCATTGTGCAGCCAGGAAAGGACAGCGGTAACAAAACAATAAATTGATTTTACATCAAATTCAATCTTAGGCGACCTTCGAAATCAAATTCTCTGAAAAATATTTCGTTCAATGAAAACTTTTATACCATCGGCCAGATGATCGAAGTGAACTTACCTGTCTCTAACTATCGAAATGAGAAAATTCATTTCCAATGACGTCCTATCTCGACTAGCAATTTATATCAGGTGAATTCCTATTTAGAAGATCGCATGCTAGTGGAATGGCTGTAATTAGCAATTCCCGATTCCCTAATTTTATATTATAGCCACCTTCCGTCGCCTCCTTTAATTATAGTTCTTTACAAAAAAGTTGTGGGTTACGTTAGTTGGGATCATTTCAACTAAGACATGGAAAACTGCCTATATATGGATAGAAACTTAGAGACCCAGTAGATATTTTCCGTGCTCAACAAAAACGCCAGAAACTGATTAAAAGATGACCAAGGATTGTTGAGGATGAATGCGTTTAGATTATCAAGCACTAAAGCCACTTTTTCTCTTCTGTCACCTACCTATATTTACGCATAATTCAAGGGTGCAGTCTGACATGTTGTTTAGTCAAATACTGAATTCGCTTGAGGTGAAATTTCACTCAGTATTCCAAATCTTTTAGGGTCTTTGTAGATGTAACCACCGAAGAAATGTTTTCTATCGTTTGCTCATTGAGAAAAAATTGATTTCCTTCTTCACAGGAAAGCTTGTCTAGTACTTTTAAGTATGGGAGCTGAGATAAACAGTAGAGACAACATTTCCCAAACTCCGCTGATGTTGTCGGTGAAGGGAAACCACGCTAAATGTGTTGAGCTTTTGCTTGACTACAAAGCTTCAGCTGACCTTCAAGACAACGATGGTGACTCTGCATTACACATGGCATGTGGGCAGGGGCGTGGAGCTATCGTAGAACTTCTTCTAAATCGTGGTGCAAGCGTAGTCCTGTTAAATGATAGAAATCATGCATGTTTGGAAACGGCAGCTAAAGCGGGATCCAGCGATGCCTCCATGATATTTGTGAAGCACAAACGGTTAGTTTTTTTTTCCCAGCGTGAAGTCAAAAGATAATGCTAATAGAAACTTTAAGATATCTTGCCTTATTAAATGCCATTTATTTCAAGATTTTTTATTATTATTACTATTATTATTACTTTTATTCCCAAAAGTGAGTTATTTTGGATCGTTTTTTACGTTGTTAATATTTTGTATTGTAGAGGATTTTATGGAAATTATTGCTAAATAAAGATTATTATTATTATTTTATTACCCAAATATTTCTTAATCATTATCCAACTGTGATTCGTAGAGTACAAATAACGCCCAAAACGAGTACAAATATATCCCGGTATTTGTACTCCAGAGAACCGGTTAGACATTCGCCCGCACAGAAATAACAATTTGGCGTGCTGGATAATAAATCTCTTAGTAGACGTTTTGTTGTTTAGTATCGCTGAGTATTTTTACGAGTTGTGCCGTATTTGACGAGCCCATAGGGCGAGTCAAAATAGAAACAACGAGTCAAAATACTTAGCGATACTACACAACAAAACTTTTAAAAAGATCTATGTATCTTAATTTGCTTCCAAAATGAAGATGTTGGGAGTCATTTTTATCAATGATTCTTCGATGCTTGGCGCTTAACTCTTCCATTTGATTGTTGGTTTGTTTATCTCTTTAAGGTGGTCAGAATTGGAGAACTACAAAACATCAACAGGCCAAAATGCCATGTCACTCCTTGTTGAGAATTTTCCAGAAGCAGCGGAAGTGTTGCTTAATCAATGCGTGCATCACTCTCAACGTCTCAACGCTTCCGATCCAGACTACGCTGTCACCTATAACTTTAAGTACTTGGATCCAGGCCCAAACCATAAAGATCGCTCTACAAGATCCAGATTCGCAGCACTTGAAGCCATGATCAAGCACAAGCGGCAGAGGCTCCTTCTTCATCCACTCACGCTGAAGCTCAACCAAAGGAAATGGAGTACGTTGGGAAGATATGTGTTCATCTCAGATTTTCTCACATACCTCCTACTGATGATACTCATCACCGCATTCATAGTTATTCAAAGGGAGGGTCAGCATTTCAGACCATCGGATAATAAAAAAGCAAGGCCAAGGCGAAGTGTTAACACGATGGGAAATGATGAAGACGACTACAAGCCTAAGCCCTCTGACATTTATCCTACGAAAACGCCTTTTACACAAGCTGCACCAGTCATAATCATGATGTTATCCTTATTTCATATAATGAAAGAATTTTTCCAGATCTATGTTCAACGTTGGAACTACTTTAAAGACACATCCAATTACCTTGACTGGGTCCTATATTTCTGTGCTGCAATGTTCATGGTCCCCTAGCTTACCAGAGCAGATGACCTCGATGACTGGTTTGGAGGCTTGTCTGATCCACGCATACTCTGGATAACAGGAATTTTCGCAATCTTTGTGTGCTACATGAACATGATGCTCTTTCTCAGGAGGTATCGTTTATTTGGCACTTACATCTCAATGTACATTGAAGTGACTAAGACTGTTTTCCAGGTGTTGCTGGTATTTGTGTTTCTCCTCTTGGCGTTTGCCTTGGTGTTTCACATCCTCTTCAAGGAGCAGGTAAGGTACATCATGTTTTTATCTTCTTTAGCAGATTGCTAACGTATTTTTCGAAAGCTATGCAACAGAAGCGTGCGAGTGGTTGATAACCATTGCTGAAAAAGCACTCAAGAATAGTGAGATATCACAATATGAAATTGAGTTACGAAGACAAAGGAAGACAGTTTTAGATCGTTGTTACTGTAGAATACAATCAATATCTGCTGCTTCAAAACATGAAAAAGGAAACCTCGAAAATTCGAGTAATAGGAATAAATCATAAACAGTAAGCAAGTATCACATTTTATTGTAGGCTGGATTTCACACCCTGCAACACTCCATTCTGCGTGTAATGGTTATGATGATTGGGGAGCTGGACTTTGGCGCAATCTTTATTGATTCAATCGGCGAATACAAGAGTGAAAAAAAAACCCGTCCACTTAATCCATTCCCACAAGTTGGGTTCTTCTTCATCTTCTTATGTTTGTTTCTACTGGCCGTTGCACTCATGAATCTCTTGGTAAGAAAATTTGAATAATAAATTTATTCAATTACGTACACAATGAAATGTCTTTTCAATCTGCAACCTTACCAATATCTGTAAACTCGATGTTCTTTATCGTTTGTATGGTTGTGGCCCTGACTACAGTTCTAGAGCTGATTTTGATTGGGTGTCAAACGGAAAGTAAGGTAATCACATTGGCCAGTCACAAGGAAGAAAAAAAAAGGTTTCAGTTGTGTTTTACGTAAAAGCCAGCAAGCTGGCTGAAGCGCGGGATTCTAAGATATTTCTTTTACTGCAGGTCGGTTTGGCAGTTGGGGATATCGATCAAATGAAAAAGTTTGCAACAGTGAGAAGATTGGCAATGCAGATTGAATATCAAATCGAAATAGAGGAAGCCTATCCTTCTTTCATCATAAACAGAGTATATCAAGAGGTTTACGTCGAAAAACCAAACAAATACTCTAGACGCAACAGGTATGGGAGGAAAACTTTCTAATTAATGAAACAGTCTGGTATTATAAAGTTCATATAGTGACGAAGAAGACTTCGCCAGGTAATTCAAACTGAACGAGGGTTCCAGTAAGATGCTGGGAAATGTGGCGAGGTGCAAGGGGTTGAGTAGTGGTTGTATTATTATTGTACTAACATTGATTCCGGGAGATAAAGATGGAATGAATTTGACTTGAAACATTATTCTGAGTTATATTTGAGTGGTTTCGTTAAATACAGGTGGTAGAACTATACAAATAGGCTAAGGTGACCACAAACGTCTAATAGAGTTGACCGCTTAATAGAGGTGAAAATTGCAGTACTTAAGGGGAAAAATTTGCTTGATAAGGTGTCGCTCAATGCAGGTTCAACTGTACTCTAAATCTTCTCATGTTCTTCGAACCAGAATAAGCTATTGTATCGTGGGCTTTAGGGCTGGTGTGTTTGTAGGGTACCACTTAACTTACTGCGATGCAGTCTCGCAGGGTGAAGCTTGTGGCTTGCCTACAAGATGATAATGAAGATAACAGCTTAGAACGTGTAGCTCCTAGCTCGGGTTATAGTAGCACCCAATTTTTATTTGGGGGGATACGGGTGCGAATCCCGTCGATGCCTGAATGTTTTTTTCAGGCTTCTTTCCAGCAATTGCTCTGGCGGGCTTCTTTCCTTAACTTAAATTTCATCCGCCGGTCAAATGAAACTTATTTCATTATAAGTTATGATCAGAATGACGATAAGCTAACCTCATTTGTCTGCGATACTCCACAGAGTGATAGATTGGTTATACGCATGGTTTGATGAAGCCACTCCAGAGCCAGTAGCTGATGAAGACAGCAAGACAAATGAACTGGCCGTGCTACAAGAAGAGATGACAAAGAACAAGAAAAGGATCAAGACGATGATGGAAATGCTAGAAGCACAAAACAACTTGCTCAGAAGTCTAGCACACAGAATAGATCCCAGCTTTGAGCTGCTGGGTGGGAACGAGGAGACCAGGGGTAGGGGTCGCATGCATGGTGTTGATGGTCCAGATGGTAAACATCGTGCGCCCCATGAAGGAGGAACAGAGAGCGAAGTACCGACGGATGATACGAGCGTGGAATTCACTAGAGAAGAGAAAGCTGCAACTTCTCTCTTCGAGGGTGGCTTGTGATTCCCGCTTGGTTCAAGGTACTCTTTGGAGGCAGTCAGTAGGATCAAATGATCACCTAACAAGGTGCTAGAAACGAACGGATTAAATTTAGATGGTACCTTTACTAACAGTAACCCTCGCCCGAGAACATTTTTGATATGACCAGAAAAAGCTGTAAGTGTAATTCCTTTTTTTTATGGAAAACTTTTCTCATGTCAAAGTTGTTTGCTAAATGTATCGCCAGAGCGTATCAGCTGTTTTATTTACTGGAGCAATCCGCTAGAAGCGATATTGTGTGGACTATTTGATAGCATGACACTCACTTTTTTCCATTTACGTTTGATGAAAACAACAAGTGTTAAACAGGAATTTTTAAAAGGAGAATGCAATCGAGGAAGCCTCGTTCCCGTTCATCAAAGGAACGAATTTCCGCCCTTACGTCTTTAAATGTGTAGTAACTTGGATATTTTGTTATTTAATTTTTAATGCATTTCGTCTATAGTTGTTACCCATGCTTTGCGGTAGATATCCACTGCATATAAATGGTCTCATAGAAAACATCGATGAAATCGTTTGGGCCACTTGTTTACACAAACGCCTAGGTCCAGTAGTAAACTGTCCATGGACTTCGATAGTTCTTCTAACTATATTTTTTTTTTATGAATATGTCTATATCTTATTGGACGTTTTGTTTAGTAGTGTCGCTGAGGATTTTTACGAGTTGAGCCGGCCGTATTTTGATGAGCCCTTAGGGCGAGTCGAAATACAAATAACGAGCAAAAATATTCAGCGATACGATACACTAAGACGTCTAATATGTTATTCATTATATTTCAGTGCGGGCGAATTTCGCGGATATTTATTTACAGGGAGTGCGTGACAAAAGTATGCGAAGCCGAACGGAATTGGCGCGTTTTCGTGTTGCTGTTTCTATTTTCTTCAATACATGATGAAATTTCGTTGTCGTCCATCTGCTTTTCTTCGTTCGATTTATTTAATAAACTTCGATTAATATTCACCAACCATTCCGACTCTTCTTCGTCAGAAAAAGGATTTAAATTGTCAGCCCGCCATTTTTTTTTTTTTTTAACTGCAGTCTAATTCGTCGCTTGCGCGATGCGAGAAAACCTTTTTAACCGGTTCTCTGGAGTACAAACACCACGTGATATTTGTACTCGTCTTGGGCGTTATTTGTACTCTACGAAGCGTTGTTTAATAATAAAAACACTTTTTCGTGTTAGCTGGTATGATTCACCTTAACCCTGTTCTCATGAATCAGGTGAAACGTTTTGGTGTATTGAACTCGGTTCAGAACAAGTGAACAGTTGAAAAACAACGATATTAACGTTGTTAGACCAGGGATGTAACATCCAGTGACACATATATTTAAATTAGCTAACAGTTCTCTGGCTTACGCTCAGTAGAGTTAAGTTCCTTAACCCTGAACCATTAAAACCCCATAAGTGATCTACAAGTAACTTCTTCTTGTGATTCCAAAATGTCACTTTACAAACAGGTTATGAGAACGGACAAGCTTATCAGTTACAAAGTGTTATCGCGATATGACAACAAATTTCCCTGGCTAAAAAACAAGGAACTGTCTGTAAGTCAAAAGAGAAAAATGCTAATTGGATCTAGGGACTTTAGGGTTAACAAAGTCCTTGAATATTAAAAGTCTTAATTCAATTTGGAAGTGCCCCCTTATCCCCAAACAAGGTTGAACTCTACCAGGGAGGTAAAATTTAGAAAACACAACGCTACAGAAAATTAAGGGGGTAAGTTACTAAAGAAATTTATTACATCGCACGCAGTGCCCGTGGGCAAGATGAAGTGAATCCTGTGTTCTGATTGGCTACCCGAGCGGGCAAGATGGGCCTCTCTTGCCCGCACGGGATTGCCCGCATTGATCCCGCGCATGAAAAAAACTAGAATAAGAACTACGTTTGTAACTTTTGAACAATCTCGGCGACGGAGACGCAAAAAGCGGCAGAAGATAGTAAAAACAAAGAAAACAGAAACGACTCTTGTGAGTTTGTTGTGCTACAAACACGGTTGGCTTTCTTTCTCGGCTCTCGAAGGAAACAAGTCATTCTTAACTCTTAATAAAGTGAAATCTTTTTGCAATATAATAAATCCTTTATAAACCAAGCTTGTTCGGTCAAGATGGTTGGATATTAACCTCGTTCTTTTTTCGCATTTCTATGAACCTCAACTTCATCTCGGTCCGTAGAAATGCAAAAAAAAGAACCCGGCCAATATTCAGCCATCTTGACCTCACGCTTGGTTAATAGCGCATATGTACTGTACTACGTCGTGGGGGGAGTATATCAAGGTAATTTTGGTTTTATTAACTGAGTGGATAATGTAGATGGACCACCGTAAAGAGTTCCAGTTGACAGAAATAAATATTTTACAGTTAACTTTTTTACGAATAACAGTAAAAATTTTTTCCGCTTAATGACTAACGGTTAACTGCATTGAGCGCTAGCCCCTTATATTGCTTCCACACATACACAATCATAGGGAAAACTTCATTGAGGATAATGAAGTACCATCAAAGTTTGAGTTACCTGCCTTTTTTCAACGAAGCGAAACATTCACCCAAAATGGCCCAAGTGGAAACCCTTGTCCTGTCTCATTCTACTGTACTTTGCTTGAGCAAGGTCAAGCCATTGTCCCATAAGTGTAACGCATTTATCAAAAGCTTTGACGAAGAATGAATAAGTAAATGTACTCGTTCTTCATAGGGCAGAACTATCAACAAGTTAATATTGATCAGGGATTGTAACGAAAATGAAAAAAAAAAGATGTATTCATGAATTAGTGAAAAAAGCGACAATTTGTCCAAAATCTGTACAAAATCTTACTGAAATATGTAACTCAGGAAAGCGTGATCTGATCCAAACTGAAAACATCTCAGTTTAAAAGCGTTTGAACGGCGTGATACATCATCCTCTTGATGATCTAATCCTTGTGGGACCTAAGGTCGAGTATGAAAACAACAGTCTTTTCAAGGCGGCACAGTGGGTAAACCACTAATTGAATTGAACTTTCTTATGTTAATCACGATAACAATGCAAAATAGTTTGAAATCACAGCAAACTGACTATATTAACTTTCGCTAACTCGAGGCCAGAGAAATCAATATCAATTCTTACGCTTGGTTGCTGCTGATCACTGAAAAACCTGGCGACACCGCGGTGGCTGAGAAATATGTCGTTCAAAAATAACCTCCGAAGTAGCTACCTACTTTCACCAAAGGAAGACGAAACCAATGGTAACACTAACGCTGGCGAAGATCGAAAGAAAGCTCCTTTTGTAAGCAAAGAGAGACTAAATTTGGAAATGAGCGAACTTGGAAAGCCCATTATTTCTCGAGCCACCGGTATGTTCGAAGCTGTGCGTGATGGTATAGTAGATGTTGTCAATGAACAACTCAGTAAGAAGGGAAATGCCAAAACTATCGACAAGTTAGATCAGTCTGGACTTGCCATGCTCCACCACGCAGCCCGTTACGATCGAGTTCACGTCGCTAAATCCTTGCTGGAGCACCGCGCTTGCATCGATGTTCGAACCAAAGAAGATAACCTTACACCGCTTCATATCGCTGCAAGGTAAGTTTCCTTGTCATTCACGGGTGTATTTGATGAATAATTTCATTTTGTCTTGCGAACTGTTTAGTACTTAAGGAAGAACTATTCATTTCTGTCATCTGAGAAAAGAAGCACTGCTGTTTTTTTTTTCATTTGAAATGACATCACGCATTCCAGAAAAAAAGAGATATGACTTTGCGACTCTTATCAGCATCGAAAGCCTGCAAGTTAAACACTAAAATGCACTGAGCATATTACTCCATTCCCAATATATATCCTTTATTCAAGAAAGCTCACATTTGTAATACACGAACGAAACAATAAGGAGACACGAAATTTATGGAAACAAATTAATTTCCATTTGAGGTACTGTTGACAGATTTTCGACACTGTGTAAAGTTTTTAGGTATATATTATCCGCCGAACCGTCATCGATTGCATTTAAGAAGGATAATACTTAATAACATTAATTCTTGCGTTAAGAAAAACATTGCGACAGTTAAACAAAGCGAAGCACTGGAGCAAAGAGGTTCAAAGAAGAAAATCATTCCATTTACCTTCAGGGCGGCAAATGTATTTTAAACATTGCCTACACATCTGTTTGCACATTTGTTTAGTTAAGGAACACTTCGTGGTCGTTTAAACTAAAACTGGAAGATTTCATGACGATTTCAATTTTTAAGTGCAATGCTACACTTCGACCCTTCAGGCGAGACAGTTGCCACATCTTCGTTTGTGGGCTGCTATCCTTGGAGGCTATTGAACTAATTATGGTATTTCAGCACTTGAAAGTTTTAAATGAATTTGTCCTCTGGGCGTGACTATGACGGTGTTGACAACTGTACAACTTGTTTGGTCTATTTGTTCACAGCGGGCAACCGAGTTGCTATATATTGGGGTTCAGTTGAAATTTATAAACAATTCGGTTCTGCGTCTAGCGATAGCTTAGGTCCCCACGGCGGCCGCTGTAACCTCTGGTAAAAGATATATAAATGTTTTTCTCCCACGTGCTTAGACTCTGCGTATGTTATGATGAGAGATCCTTTTGCTGGGCTACTAATAGATGACCCTGTCCACAAAAATTTAATCTCTCTTGCATAGATTTAATTGCCTAGCAACCGTTCAGTTATTGATTGAAAGAGGTGCCAAGCCCACTTTAGCATCATTCAATGGTAGCACGGCGTTACACTTTGCAGCGCGCCGAGGGAATGATCAGGTGGCAAAGCTTTTGTTACGTCATGCCAAAGTTGACGTCAATTCGAAGGACTCCTCTCACATGACTCCATTACACTTTGCCTGTCTCAGTGGAAACATGGCTATTTCAAAGATGCTTCTTGAAGAGGGGGCAGATATACGGGCTAAATCGACGGAGCTAATGACTCCTCTTCACACTGCAGTGTACAACGGCAACTCCTCAGTAGCTTCTCTCATCTTGCTGACTGGTGAGTTGAAAAAACAAGCGCTTTGCGATGTTGATACATAGAAAGGTATGGCACACTTAAATCGAGACACATTCAATTCACTTGTTTCATTTTCCAGTGTCTCGAAATGCCATGTAGAAGACAAACAAAAGTTTAAGTCAAGAAATTAAAATAAGCATATCAGGATCGTTCACTCAATTCCAATTTACAGCAATTTGTAAAGAAAAACACTCACACAAAAAAAAAAATTAACTCAGTTTAGTGTCTCATTAAAAGGGTCAGTGCACAAAAAAAGTCTTGAAGCCCTTATTTTTGCCGTTGATTGGGATGAACCATCCTATTTTTTTTTTTATCACAAAGCTGTATTCTCATCCCAGAATCAACTCAAAATTTTTTACTGCCGCGATGTAGTCGCAGACCGAAAGAGATTTTAAATGCCAAAATGAGATTGAAAAAATAGATGGCAGTCAACGATATGCGAGTCATTCCATACTAATCGTATTTATTTCAGCCACTGAGAGAAGACAGAATATCACTGAGCTTGTCGAGGAGCGGGACATAAATAATAGCACAGTCCTACATCTAGCAGCTGGAACAAATGATCTCAAAACAGGGGAGGTGTGTCTGCAGAATGGCGCGGACATTAACGCGCTCAAATCGAATAATGAAACGTCTTTGTACGTGGCAACGGTGAAAGGAAACTTGCAGATGGTAAAACTATTGGTACGGAAAGGAGCTGATGTAAATGTTAAAAATGCTGACACCAAAACTGTTCTTCACAGGTAAATAGATGATTTCTTTTCAACTGAGTCTATGACTTATGTCATGAAATGTTTATCTTTGACCGTGTTTTACATAAAATTGTCATTTTGATGATTATCATAAGCAGTAACCATTGGAGGTGAACTGCAATTTTATTAGAATCATAATGTTACGTCCACTGAGTCTGCCTTTCGCTCACCTCTTCTTGGTTGTGACGCTGGTGAATCCTGGCCATTTTGATAGAAGCGTCATTTGCAATTATGTTTTCTCATTACTTGATCGCATGATCTTGTAAATCATAAAAACTGGCCCTGATTTGAAATAAATCAAGGAAATTGAGAGCACATAACGCAATTTGCAAGACTGCGCATTTTGAGACGAACTAATGCAAACAAAACGGCGTAATTTAAGTTTAAGGGTTTTATGGTTTTAGGAGACTGTATATTCTACCATTTCCATTTCTAGTTTCGATTTCATGCCCGTTACTGACATATATGTCCTTATTACGCAACTGACAAGGTTACGTGATCAGTCAATGCAAAATTCCTTTTAATAGGACAAAGATTTTTGTCCAATACTATTTAGGGCAGGTGTGTTCAACCGTGATGACATCATTTCCTTTCTACTCGATCACGGAGTAGCTATTGACGCACGTGATGCACAAAGCAGCACGCCTTTCCTAGATGCCGTGGCTGCTGGCCAGACAAGATGTGCTCGACTGCTTCTCCAAAGGGGAGCTGACGTGAAAGCATTCGACATCTTCATGAAGAACTGCCTTCACCTGGCAGTTGAGAACGGAAATTTGGAGACACTTCAAATGCTCCTAGAGGAAAAGTCTGTTCTATTCAATCTTTACAGACCAGATGTCAACGAGAGAGTTCCACTGCATTATGCAGCCATGGTTAAGGACGTTAGGGTATGTACACCAATTGTTATCCAGTTATTCTTTAAATACAAATCATGGGCTACTTTTTGAGAGGCGAAAGTAAAAAAATACCCATCATGAAAGTCTGCAAGAAGCTAATTTTAGTACTCCCGCGTGTCCCTCAAACATACTAGGCCCAACTATGTTTGTGAGACACCTAGGAGCAAATCTTAAGTCTTCAAACTGCGACTAAATTGTACTCACTTTTCTTTAAAACAGATAATGGATGCACTTTTGGCGAAACACACACGATTCACTTTCCACGACTAAACGCAGCAAACTCCCCTCCACCTTGCTGCTCAGTATGGAATGTATGAACAGGTGGAAGCACTGGCTCGTCGAGTAGCCTCTGGACTAAATGACCGGGATGAACAAGGAAGAACCCCACTTCATTATGCAGTTATGAGTGGTCACAGGTGAAAAAAATACCCGACTGTTGGGAGTCGATGTGGCCAGAATTAGAGTACAATAGTTTAAGTGGAATTCTCACCTTTTTGAATGCAATATCGATCATGGAATCTGTCCTTCCAAACAGTTCATCAAAGTTATCCATAACGTTTTTGTAATTCCAAGCTGTTAAACAAATTTATCTACATTGTTCTTGGACTCTTTCCTGTTTCATGGAGACAAAACAACCACAACAAAAAAAAGTTCAAGGCGTTAGATTTTTACTGACCCATTTCACCTCGTAACTCACTGCTATCTCTTTCATTTGCATTTGACAAATAGCCTCTGTTTTACTTTAATGCAGAAAAGTTTGTTACACTTTACTAAAACTTGGAGCGGACGTAAGCACCAAAGACAGCAGCTCCTGGACACCATTAATGTTGGCGTCAAAGCTGGGCTGGGCAAAATCATGTCAAGAATTGCTCGATATGCAAGCATCTGCGGATGACGTCAACAGTGAGGGCGACACTGCATTGCATATTGCTTGTAAACAAGGTCACGTCAGCATTGTAAACTTGCTGATGGAAAATAGTGCAAGTTTAACTGTTCGCAACATCCAGGGGCTCACGTGTCTAGAGGCTGCAGTCCGAACAGGGAACAGCGATGTAGCAATGGCTATGGTAAAAAACTCAAGGTATGCTTCGCTTTTCATTTGCGCTTACAATCATGAACTATTCCTCTACGCTACTTGTAACCCTTTGAGAATGACTCAAGTGTAAAGCCCCGTTCAAACGGTCATAGTAGTCGATGATAGTTTCGACTTTCATTCACTATCATTGACTGTCATGTTTTTACGGTTCATGATAGTTGATGATACTTCATAAAATCACTGCACTCGATGAGATCGCGCAATTGAAAACAAATATGGCACCCGCTGAGGTCACTCAATGAGATCGCATAATTATAAACAAATATGGCGCCCGCTGAGGTCACTCAATGAGATCGCATAATTATAAACAAATATGGCACCCGCTGAGGTCAGCAATTTCGTTGGCATTTGAAATTTTAGACAAGAAGTTGCAAGTTGAAGATACTGAAGCCTAACAAGAGATGATTAGAATGAACTACGAGACATTCTGCGAAATTTTGACCGCTGCTTTAGCCATTTTGCCAGTTGCCATTTCAGTTTAGGCCCGTTGTTGGCAAATCTGCCGACCGAAAAACTATCATTCATCATCATCCGCTCATTAAAACGGCAAAAAACCATCATCCACTATCATGTCGACTGAACCGTGATGTCCAAACTACATGATGGTTGATGATAGTCGAAGATAGTCCACGATAGTTCGTGTTCAAACGCGCGTGATAGTTGGAACTAACACCAACTATCATAAGCGTTTGACCGGGGCTTAAGGTATGCTAAGCCGTATCGAATTCTTTTTTGTGGGAAACTTAGAGAGTACCAATGAAGGAGTCTGACCTCATTGATAATGACATGTCTCAAACTATTGACGTAGAGCGAAAGCAGTCACTGAGACCCTACAAGCAGGTTTTTAAGCATCGATACCAACTGTTTCGATAATTGATAACGATACAAATAGTGCTTTACTACAAATGGACAACCACTCGTCATTTCACTTCTACATTGCGAAGTTTTCCCTTCTGAAAACTGAGAAGTATATCATATGCAATTTAATCAATTTACAAGTGAAGCTAAAGAAAGATTGACTAGATTTGCATAGATTTGTGACTTCAACAGATGGCAAGAAATTATGGAGCATAAGGACATGCAAGGGCATACACCCATGAGGCTGCTAATAGAACACTTCCCAGACAGTGCAGAACTGCTGATGGACAGATGTATCAAGCGATCGGAAATGACAAGCACAAACGATCCTCAGTTCACTGTTACCTATGACTTTCACCTCCTTGACCCAGGTCCGGACGATCCTGCTTTTGTGCACGGGAGACGTTTCTTCGGACCCAGCACCATGGTGAAACATGAACAAAAGAAATTGCTTCTCCACCCACTAACACAAGCACTGTTGAATCAAAAGTGGTCGAAGTTTGGTCGATTCATATACTACTTAAACTTTTTTTCATACTTGATCTTTGTTGGTCTCTATTCAGCTTTCATCATCAATGTCAGGGAAAAGCAGACGTTTTTCCCAAATGTGGAAATTTGCTATGTATTTGAAGATGAGGAATTTGATGAAGTTGTTGAAGAATGTGAACCAGCGTCGAATATTTATGACACGGTGACGTATTTCAGCAAAGGATTCTCATATATAGTTTTTGGAATCGCAATTATCCATCTTGTAAAAGAGATTTTACAAATTCTAATACAGAGACTAAGGTACTTTACGGATTTAAGCAATCTACTGGAATGGGCACTGTACGGGACAACTTTCGCTTTCTTGTTGCCATATGTCTTGCCCGATAAAACCATTGATGACTGGTTCGCCAAAATAACAGATCCTTACCTAATTTGGCAAGTCGGCGTCACCTCAATATTCCTCTGTTACGCAAACTTGGTTTTGTTTCTCCGTCGGTTTCGTTTGTTTGGAATTTATGTCACCATGTTTGTGGAGGTCACAAAGACGGTTGTTAAGGTCCTACTGGTCTTTCTTATCTTCCTCTTTGGGTTTACAATCGTTTTCTATATCCTCTTCAAAGAGCTGGTAAGATAATGCGACACAAACTAATGACATTTTGATTGAATGATATGAAGCTAAGTCCGGAGAAATCACTACAACCAATCAAAAAAGCCAAAAAAACAAAGAAACAAACAGGCAAAATTAAGAGCCTGTAGGACGAGGAGTTATAACTGACTCTGGCTTTGAATCCGATTGTTTGGGAGTTGGTTTAACTATACCTCACTCAGACATTCACGCATCCCCTTACGCACTCGTTCACTCTCTTGTCTAACAACTGATTAGTTGATTAATTGATCAATTGACTGATTCATTTTATTCATTTGTTAATTCAAACGTTCGTTTGCACTTTTGTTCACTTTTTATTCTCTTCCCTCCTCTCAATCGTTCATCAGTCACTAAGTCATCTATCAAGTTTACAGTCACTTTTTATTCCAAGCTTTCACTACCCCGGCAATTTATCTAGTTATCAAAAGATTTAATTTTACACCTTTTTCATAATACATCTTTCTTACATATATTTAGTAATGTATTATTATTTTCATCTTTTTACCGCAGGATTCTTTTCAAAAGCCCAGTATCGCGTTTATGAAGACAATAGTGATGATGATCGGAGAGCTTGAATTCGATGACACCTTTGTTGAGACTATTGGGAAAAATACTACGTCCGGAGCACGAAAGAATCCTTTCCCTGAAACTTCATTTGTATTCCTTTCTTTATTCCTTATTCTAGTGGGCATCGTTTTGATGAACCTGTTGGTAAGTCATTCTTATCATTTTGTTCTTTCCATTTTCCTTATCGATTTTGCAATCATGACAATTTCTAAATAAAATTAAAACGAAAGCAGTTAAATGATTGAGCGCTTTGTGGAATCAATAAATTGCTGGAGGGTGACCCGCAAAATTGTAAGCTCTTAAACTACAATTCGAAAGAAATTTTAGTTGACAGAATGTAATGTTTCGATACCCATTGAATCACTACAATCAAAAAAGAGCTAAACTCTGTGTCACTATTCGACCCTTTAAAACAACCCATCGATCGGTGGTGCGTAGTGCAAAGTACTTTGAGACATCCATATAATTCTTAAAAATCATAAATTAAATCTCTCTCATAACCTCTACCCTAGAGAACTTTAAAAAATTAAAAACAAATTGACAATGTTCAGTTTTACCCTCTCAGCCAAGAAGGGAATAATCCACCTCTGCTTTGCTTATTGCTGCTAAAAGTCAATGTTCGAGATCAACCTTTGTGGGCATTTGCAATATATGTTTATGCTCTTATTCAGGTTGGCCTTGCAGTGGGAGATATCGATACCATTCAACAGAGTGCTACTCTAAAGAGGTTGGCCATGCAGGTCGAGTTTGTAGCGGAGATTGAGCAAAGCTACCCAAGATTTGTTACGCGGCGACTTTATCATCCAGTTGTGACTTTGAGGCCCAATCGACCCAGTCGCTTGAAAAGGTAAAGCAGTTACTGACGAAGGGCTAACGCTCGAAACGTCAGCTTTTCTATTCGTTACGGTGGCCAATTGACAATTTAAACTTAGTTGATATAACCAGATTACCTTGTTACCCCCACCGACGTAGCACCACAGTTTCTTTAGAAACTTTCAGCCTTTATTCAGTTACATTTAACCCTCGGGAGACATAGAAATTGAACAGTCCCATAACAACGGCAACATCATTTCAACTCACTTGAAGCCGTGTGGTATGTGTGTAACATGCCCACTGACACCTGTTTGATTTTCCCCCTCCAAGTTTAGAATTCTATGATGGCACTGTGTTCATCCATTCGAATTACTAGCAAGTGACGGAGGAAATTTTGTTACATTGTTAATTGCGAAGCTTGGCGCGTGTTTTTCTCATTCTAAGAAATACGATTACCTTAATTTCAGGTTTGCGGCTCTCCTTGGCTATACGATTGCGAGATCCACAAAAAACACCCACGGCCTTCCTGATAATGAAGAGTTGAAGGACTCTGAGTATACTGAAGTAAAAAAGCAGCTCGAAAAAACTAAAAAACGCGTCAAGGCGTTGGTGACTGCGATAGAGGTCCAAAACGCACTGTTACGGCGATTGGCCATAAAGATTGATCCCGATGCTGAGATGGACCTACGAAGTCTGGAAGAGAATAGACCCAATCTGGGTGACGAGCGGGTAGCGTTAGGTGAGGAAATGTTTGATGGACAGCCGCCAAGTGAAACCACCGCAGAAAGACCGCATGTTGAGGCCCGTACTACGGTTTGCTGACCTTCAGCTGCTCACTCAAATCTTCAACACTTGATAAGTCTTGTTGGTACAGCTGAATCTGGGCTCTGGTTAAATTTGGGTAACTTTTGGAGAGAAAGTATTCGTATTATTCAGAAACTTTGAATCATCCTAAACTTTTCCGTTGGCTCACATTTTAAGCCCACTCCTTAAATATTTGATATGATGGCTTGGTCAAAGATATAAGAGTATTAATGTAGAAGACAGGCCGAGAGGGAACTAGGTAGAGATCTAGGAAAGACCTGAAAGACTGAGAGGAGATCTAAGAAAGATCTGAAAAAATATATTTTAGATTATTACTTTATTCTTCTCGTCATTATTTGCGTTGCGTGTACCACATTCAAAGCTTGGACACAAAATATTTTTCTGGGATAGAAAAAAAGACATCCTTTGGGCTGAGACAAAACGTTGCACCATACCAAACAATTACATGTTACAGGGCACCTGGAAATGGCTATTCAGTAAAGGACATAGACAACTGCAAATGTTCACCTGGTATTCACAAACCAGCTGTGAATAGTCAGTAACTCGAGCTGAACCCTTTCTTGTTTATTCGCACCGTACACTTAATGGTTTAGTTTTCACTGAGAAGTCAAAATTTTGTAGTAAACAGGAATGGTATACGATGTCAAGGTTTCATCGTAAAACAAAGCGTTATTTTTCGAAAAAAAAAAAAAACCTGGAAATCTCCCTGCGATATCAATTATCTGTCAGTAACAGTGCTACATAAATTTGATTCGAAGATTGAGTGATTGATTACCAAGCCCGTGTTTTGCACCTTTTTGTACCAGCGTGAGGACGAAGCGTGTTTGCGGTGTTCTATTTTTTCCTTTTTTCATTAAAATATTGATATTTTGTCAAATCGTTTTGTAAAAAAAAAAGAAGGGCTAAGGTTTACTTGAATAAAAGCAGTTGACTCCCTTGGTTCTGTCTATTTGTTTGTTAGTTGATTAATTCGTTTAGTTGCTTTTCTGTTTGTTTCGTGTCGCCCAGCTGCTGCTACGGAAATAAAGATGGTTTTCCCAGCATTCTTTATTTGGCACTTGTTTAATATTCAATAGATTGCTTTTGAGCGAGATTTGACTCGTCTCCGAGTTAAAGTTCAGCGACAACAACAACGCCACCTTAGGGCGAGGATCTAAGGAATAAGAGTAAATGAAGTACATTCGGCGGAAGAGCGAAAATCACAATTTATCGGAATCAACGGGTATGCGCAAGGGTGTAACTAGTATAAAAAATCTTTAAGATCTTTTAACTTAAGAGTAAAAACGAAACAAAACAAAACAAGCAAATCCGAGTGGATTCACCAAAACATATATACCACAGATCACAGCAGCCTCAAAGTCCCTTCCCAAGCATCCACGTTTGCAAACTGCTTATTCCCTTCCTCAGCAGCAGTTATCTATCACAATCATGGGAAACAGTCCAACTCAACAACGGTCTGATAAGTCAAAAATCTGCCCTCCCCATCCCTGGGCTTTTGAAACTGAGCCACTTGCAATCCACGCTTGAATAGGCCAATGGCTAGGCTGCATGCAGTAATAGCCCTGACGTTAAGCCTCCTTCATTTTCTTCGACCAGGTAGAGCGAGAAAGAGCCAGAGAGAAAGCGAAGAAGCCTGCTCCTTTAAAGTTATTCACCCACTAGCTGTGGCAGGGTTCGAACCTTACCGTCAATTTGTAACACAGCGGCCATGTTTTTGCAAATCCAAGCAGTAAAAGTAAATAAAATTAAAACAAATCTTTTGTGTTCTGAGAAAACTCAGCGAACACTCTATGGCAACAACATTTTTGAGTTATTAATTGCGCCATATTGTCAAGACCCTATCCATTTCGTGCTCATGCGAAACACAATTTCAGTGAAACAAGGCATACATACAAAATCATTTACCGTTGCGAGACACCACCAAACAAGGAAAGGTAGAGACTAAAGTACAAAGTGCACAATTATGCAATGTACTCTGTCTTTCGCCTTCCTCGTTCCTTTCCGTTTTACTCAGAGATGTAACGCATCAGTCTCCATTAATAACTAGCCTTTCAGGATTTCGTCTTTCTATCTAGGAGTAAATATCTATTATTATCACTTTGTTGGAGATTGTGTCCCATTTTGTTGGCTAAAATGGAGATTTTGGCATTCTACAATACTATACGATACTTTATTGACATTCCCCTGATGGGGCTTTTCAGTGACAATGCAAGACAACTAAACTAATTAAGTTAAAAGAAGTAGTTTATAATTGAATTAAAAGGAGAGAATGCGTTAAAAAAACTATTTAAAATAAATTATATAATAGATATTGAAATCTAATGGCATACCATGCCATTGACACGGAGCCACTTCAAAAATTTATTTTCGTTTTAGTTTTTACTTTACCAATGCCCTCCAAAGTAATAATAATAATAATAATAATAACAATAATAATAATACAGGTTTATGTTCTTGGGCATAAATTTGTTCGATCTCAAAGACATGGTCGATCCCTTAGAGACTTGACATTATTAGATCTTCCGCCTGTTAAGACCGAATGTGGTCAGGTTTCTTTTAAGTTCTCGGCTGCGAGTGCCTGGAACAAATTGCCAAGAGAGATACGAGAGCTGAAATCACTTGCACAGTTTAAGGTCAGAACTTTTATCTACTTCATGATTAAGGATAAGGCCAATCACTGATATTTGTAAGATCAATGCGTAGTTATTTGTTAGAGTTTTTGTCATTATTGTTAAGTTGCTGTTTTTCATGTTAATATTCTTATAAATTCTTATATTGCTAGTCACCATTAATACCAGTCCATAAACCTTTGTTGACTGACTGACCGTTTTTTTCTTTTACCAGGATAAATAAAGTCATTATTATTATTATTATTATTATTATTATTATTATTATTAATATTATTGTTTTGGGCCCTTCTAGGAGTCAGGCCCAAAACATATTTTTGCACACGGACATAAACTCTCTTGTCTTATGATACGGAAGACGTCACTGCCACAACCTTCAGAGTGCTGCACAAAATATCGATGCACGTAGTATTTAGCAGGAGTACTCGACGCTGACATTGAATTCATTATTATTTGTCATAACATTATGATATGGAAGAAGGAAAACACTTCAAAGACGGTTACAGCAAGGAAGAATTAAATCTCCATATTTATCGGTACTTTGAATTACAAAACAGAAATGCAAAAACAGAACCAAAAACAACAATACAAATGAATCTTAAATGCAAAATTGAATCTATGGGAAAGAAATTTACGCTATGAATGTCAAAGTACTAAGTGGAAAGAAATGAAAACAAAATAAGGTGGTCGCATTAACGTGGTACGTTGTGGGCGGAGCAACGTTCGAGTCGTATTGTAAGAAATTATGTTATCTCATGCTAATTTGAGGTTTGTTGAAATTGGTTTCAGTTCATTTCTCTTTAAATATTGCGCACCGGAAACGTAAAATAAAATTCAGCGCAATCGTTAAAGATATAAGTTCTCAGGTGCTTGTGTTTCTATCGGGCGTAGTCAGACCAGCACGATGAATGCCACGAGGACGAAAAGAACACGATCTATCAAGTACACCGACTCGCCTTTATTGGGTCGACATAACACAGCAGTCAGCAAAGCGCATTTACTTGAAGGCGACTTCGAACTCACGCAGTTCAAGTTTGCGGGCCTATCAGATCGCTCGCAACAAATCCGCGAAATCATCCAAGACGGGAAAGTAGCCGAACTGAAGGATTATTTGGCGGAGAGTAAGAACGTTAAGCTAATAAACGATTTGGATGATGATGGTCTCTCTCTGCTACATGTAGCAGCGCGATGGAATCGAGTCCAGATGACACGAATATTGATCGATCACGGAGCTGAAGTCGACAATCGTTTGAAAAATTTGTCAACACCCTTACATATTGCCGCGAGGTAAGAAAACATTTTGATTGACCTGAAGGGCAGGTGGTGTTATTGATTCAAACTGTTTGAATGTTTAAATTAAAATTCATTTAGTTTCATGTAAATTTGATCTTAGTTACCATAATTATAAGAGAGCCGGCACGTCTCACGAGTGGAGTTTTGATTAATTTTTTTTAACAGGGACAAAACTTTTCAGTTCTGAAGCAGATTTTCAAGTAAAAAGGGATCTCTTGGAAAATATCTAAGGACAAATCTTCTTTTTCTTCAGCAGAGCTCATTTGAAATTCAGAGCGACATTGACAATGATTATTTTGAAGTTCCAAGCGTGAACTAAAATAGATCAATTCCTTTAACAACAATCTTTGATGTTGATTATGTCATCCTAACCCTGTTTATTATAACATGTTCCTTAGTAATCAAGTACTATAAAGATTGAGAATCTAACAGTTCTCCAAGCACCATCCACAGTCTCGTTATAACTTCTCAGAGCCGAGTCAGTAGTCACGAACGCATTCCTAACAAGTTCTTGAACGCATGTAAAACATTAAGAGTCACGCCATCTAAACTAAGAATAATACAAACTCATTTAACAAAACATTCTTGAAATTGTTTGTCATGAGGCAAAAAAAAAACAACAACCAAAAACCAAAAAAATTAAATGAATAAGTCTGAGTTTTCCGGAATGATTCGAATCGTTGGGCCACTTCCGATTTCATTATCTACTCGCACACTGATGTTTTAGACGATCTCATAGCACGAGCCATAGATGGGTGCAATTTTAAACCTTTCAAAACATTTTAAAGTACCTATAACACTTATTTTTTTTCTATTCTACATCAAAATTTAATGACTCTTAAACATGTTTTCGCAAAATTTGTGGTATTTTGCCCTTTTCTGAATTTTTTTATCAAGCTCTATAATCCGCAGATAAAATGTCTGGCCGAGCAAAGAGGGACTGGGCGCCATGACGTCACAGTACGAATCTTGTGGAGAGAAATATTCTTCATCGAGTCAGGGGTATTCGAAAAACGCCAAACAACACATCGAAATAACATTTTTTGGCAAAAAAGATTGTAAACAGAAGCATCCACACTCACTTTGCTTCTTTGATAAACTTGGTGTTACTACCGTTACGTCACGGGTTCCAGTACTCTTTAACGCGGCCAAAGAGATACGGGGAGCCTAAGTTCAATACAATTTCGGACTTTTATCGCCTCGTAAAATAACAAAGACGCATCAGAATCGCCCACAAATCTTACCAGACACCCTCTACATACTTCTATTTTTATAATTTAATGCTAAAAAAATAGGTGCCATAGGGACTTATGAAGATACTCTAACTAAGGGACTGTCCTCAATTCCTTGAATATAACTATAGCTCAGACTGGTTTCTCCTCCCTAAATGATCATTTGCAGGTTTAACTGCCCTGCCGTTGCTGAACTTCTCCTCCGTTCTGGCGCCCGCCCATCCCTGGTCGACTCTTTAAACAACAACGCCTTGCACCACGCTGTGCGAAGACGCAACAAAGAAATGGTGTACATGGTGGTGCGAGACACAGATATCAACGTAAACGCCAAGACACAGGTTGGGATGACTGCCTTACATCTAGTCTGCATCAATGGTGATAAAGAAATTTGCCAAACCTTGCTGCGTCACGGGGCGGACATCACAGCGAAGACCGCTGAACTTAGCACCCCATTGCATACTGCTATATTCCATTGTAACACAAGTCTTGCGGAGATGCTGATTAAACAAGGTTGGCTTAGAGCCCTGTTTTGGCTATGTATCAATTTTACACTGCGTGTATAAAGAAGCCTAAAACAAAGTTTCCACTTTGGTGCTCTGTATAAGAGATGCTAATCCATCAGGTTCTCATTTAGTGACTGGAAACGAAATCTTCACAAGGATAGAAAATCTTTTTAAACTACCCGAGTAAAACGCCGTTTTGATAAGAGGTCATATTTAACAAAGCTCTACTCACAAAAAAAGTATTCGAAGTAGTCTGTTCGCAG